GACCCGGCCAGTCGAAACCTTTCACTGGCTCCTTCCCAGGCTGGGTACCAGAGAAAAGGAACTGTTCTCCTTCGAGTGACGATGCTGTGGGCCCGAGAAGAGCGTTGGCGATATTTTGACTCGTGAAACTGCAATCCAATCGAAGTTATCAGTACATTGAGCAACAACATGCATACCCATGTAATTCTGGGTAGGGCCAGTGTAATTTGCATTTGCATTGCATGTCATCTCGACCTGAAATATCTGTTTGAAATACCAGATCAATTGTTGCAGGTGTTGGCACTGCCAGGGTGACCAATGTAAAATCGGACGTCAAGGCGACAGCAAAGTCGAAGGTGCATCAGCCCAGCATTGGGACCAAGAAGGTGAGTATGTGACCCCCCCCCCCCTCACTCGGTTGTGCTGGGACACCGATGTGTCAGCAATTGCACCAAGGTTGTTACTTCTGTGGTCCACAGGACTGACAAAGTGGAGCAGGATAGTGCGCAGCAAAGGCAGTTTCGGCTTCAGAAACTAACGCTTGAATAGCGTGTGCGAATTCTTTTTCAGAGGCGGAAATGTCGTCTTCGTTTAAATGACTGTCGCGATAGAAAGACATGTAATCAGCACATGTGCTAATTAGGCCAAAACAAAATATAGGTGTGGTTACCGTTTCATGCCAAAAAAATAGGGTAGGTATAGGTATAGGGAAAACATTTTATTTTATTGAAACATTTTATTTACGAACCATGTCCGAAGGATGTGCGTTGTGCCTTTTGAAGCAGGAACTGTCCAATTCATTTTTTTCCTTCTTTTTTATTTTTTTTACTTTAAAGAAAATTGACAATAAAATGTTTAGGGTTGCTGGGAATAAATAGGGTCGGTCGGGGAACGGTAACCACACCTATATTTTGTTTTGGCCTTATGTCATATGTCCTCGAACACGCATGTCCTTACATCGCTGACGTTAAAGTGATTACGTCACCGTAAATGGTAAAAATAAAAATTATATTTCCACTTTTTCACAAAATAGCAATTAATGTCAGGATCATAATATCAAATCGTCCAGGTTTTTTGGATATTTAACTAGTTGAGAAACAATCTTATCATGTAAGAATTTGACTATACGGTTAGTCCCGATAGTACTTACTTTTAATGTAAAAAATGGCAACAAACTTTTTACAAATATACACCATAGAAAATGCATGACGTAGTCATGCAATTTAAGGTCAAAGGTGCCTAGAAGCGTAGCACATTCCGCTGCGTCTACTGTCAAAATATTTGCGATACCTGATTGAGTTTGGTCATGGATCTTAGTCTGGCTGTTGGTAGTTGTAGTATTTCCAGCTATGTTGGACGTTTTTTTTTGCATTCCCAGGTTCTTGATGCGAAGGCGGAAGTGAAGGCCACCAGCAAGATTAGTTCACATGAGAACAGCCAGCTTAGGTCAGCACCACCAGCCAGAACAAACCAAAAACCCGAGCCAGCAAAGCCAAGACTGCCCACACGGGCAGGTGATGTTAAGAAAGCCCCACTTGCCCATGCCCCACAAGCAAAGGTTGGTGTGGCTATGCATTAATTATACCTACTAACGTCTTTTCAATGAAAGCTCAAGCAAATCAAGTCATTTTCCAAAGCTCTCGATCCGCACTAAATTTCCAATGAATTGGTCGCACATGAAATTGCTAGTGATTAATTGAGTGTTAGAAGTAGATGTAACTTGTTTTACATGTGGCTAAAACGTTCAATGTGTTTTTCAATTAATGCATGCAGTCCGCATTTTCTTTATACTTACACAAGCTCGTATATTAATAACATGATTGCTGACAAGCAAATACTGCGAAACAATACCATTGGGCTAGCAGGGCAGTGACGTCGCATTGCCGGCACAGCGTGATTATCTCTATTACCCTTTTCTGTTTACCATAGAGTGCTGATACAGCAAAGAAGCCTTCTACTAGGATAACAACAGTTGGCAGATCAACAGTGATACCTACGAAAACACCAACAGCGAAATCAGCTTTGAAGCCAGGTTTGGAGAAGAAAGCTCCAGGAAAAGCAGACAAAGTTCCCACGAAACCCAAGGCAGCCCTGAAGAAGAAGACACCTGGCAAGGAAAAGAACGACCAGGAGGAGAAGAAGGATGCTGAGAAGCCAGTGGTAGATACTGTGACACACGTGATCCCGCAGATTCCATTGGAAGAGCCGTCTGAAGTCGTTGCACCGGCTGAGGAGGCACCTACTAAGGAGGCTGTGATGGCAATAGAGGAGCCAGTGCCTGCAGTAGAGGAGAAACCAGCCTCTCCAGTACTGGACGAGCTAGCACTTGCAGTAGAGGAGAAGCCAAGCCCTGCAGTAGAAGAGGAACCAGCCCCTGCAGTAGAGGAGGAACCAGCCCCTGTAACAGAGGAGGAACTATCACCTGTCGTAGAGGAGAAACCATCACCTGCAGTAGAGGAACCAGTTCCTGTAGTAGAGGAGGAACCAGCCCCTGTATTAGAGGAGGAACTATCACCTCTCGTAGAGGAGAAAGCATCACCTGCAGTAGAGGAGGAACCAGTCCCTGCTTTAGAGGAGGAACCAGCCCCTGCAGTAGAGGAGGAACCAGCCCCTGTAGTAGAGGAGGAACCAGTCGCTGCAGTAGAGGAGGAGCCAGTGCCTGCAGTAGAGGAGGAACCAGCCCCTGCAGTAGAGGAGGAACCAGCCCCTGCAGTAGAGGAGGAGCCAGCGTGCCCTGCCTTTCAGAGGAGAACCAGCCCCTGCAGTAGCAGGGAGGAACCAGCCCCTGCAGTAGAAGGAGGAACCAGCCCCTGCAGCTAGAGGAGGACCAGGCTGCAGTAAGAGGGAGGAACCAACCCCTGCCAGTAGAGGAGGAACCAGCCCCGCAGTAGAGGAGGAGCCAGCCCTTGTATTAGAGGAGGAACCATCATCTCTGCAGTAGAGGAGCCAATCAAAAGAGGTTTTTTTTATTCTATTTTCTTTCTCTATTATTTGTTCAATATTCCCTAATTGTACCTTTTAGTTCGGTGTGCAGCAGAAAATGAACAATAACACTCGGTGTTTACACTATGGGCATTATGGTGGTCGCTGTGGGATTATAGCAGATAATGCAGTAATGGGATGAATGTATTAAAAGGGGAACCAAAGTGTAATTGTGTAAGAGTTTGGTGCACATCCGTTAGCTGGGAGTAAGTGGAGGAGGCAGGTGGCATTTCTTCAAGTTTGTTGCGATCTTCCTCAATTCGTAAAACGACTGACATGGTCAGCTCTGTTGTCGCAAAATAGAAAGACATACGGAGATATTTTAGACTGACCCAATGTTCCTTCCCTTCACTTGCTTTCGCGGGTGCAGGTGCAGGAGCCTGCATGTGCACAGTGGAGCGAGAAGTTAAGGGCAGGGAGCAAGTCTAGGCTTGCATTTCATCTAGTAATACATAATCGATTTTCTGTAGTGTTTATTTAAAAAAATGATATAAATACATATGTAATACGCGTGCGTTCGTGCGTGCGTGCGTGCGTATGTAATGTTTTGAATATGTTCTAAGTGAAGCTTTGCATTCTTACAGCCTGTATTTGGTGATGACGGCGGTGACGTGGACCATGGTATGACCGACAGCAGTCACGAGGGGGAGCCACGGTGGAGTGTGAGCGGTATCACAGGTATGCTTGCTGCATGTGCTGCTGGGATTCGCAGCTGCTTTTTACTATCTCTCTAATTCTCGTAAGTTAAAAATCCGTTATGGTTCCGCGAGCTGCAGAGAGTTGCGGCACTAGGTACTGTGTTCCTATACAGAAACTTTAAAACTCGCTTGAAGTCCTCAGTTTATAGGTCAGGCTGTGAGTCATCTTCTTAAATGTACATCTTTTTAATTGTCTTGAAAGATTCCT